ATTGCTGGTATCAATTTCAGGGTAATCTGTTGCATTCGATCTAGTATGTTTGGCGGTTTGTGATGAACTCCGCCCTGCAACAAACAGGACTAATGTTTTTGAGAAGTGCCATCGAAAGGATTCTTTCGGATCGTGATATTAAACGAAAAGAGAATTTACAATTGAAAAAAGCATGCGAGAACGTTCTAGGTGAGTGTTTACATTCAAAGCAGAAGTGTTCGTTGCTTTCTTTCATGTACAGTGGTTTTTTCTTATCAAAGCAATTGTTTATTTGTTATAGAGGAGTTGAAAGGCGAAAATTATGCCAACGATAACAATGGCGAAGTTTTGCCGGACAAAGAGCGTATCGTTGAAGCAGATCGCTATTTCTTACCATTCGAGCTGGCATGCAAGTCAAGAAGTCCTAAGATCGTCATCACTGCCTTAGATTGCCTTCAAGTACGTCTTTAGAGACTTTGATGTTTTTTTTGTCGTTTTTCAAATTCTCAGCCTCGTATGGTTGCTTTCTCAGTCTGTGGTTTTTAATTTCGAATAAGCACCTTCATAAAGCATAAATAGGATTTCTGTAATTTCCCAGTCGCCAACATTCCCCCCAATTTGCTTTTTCATTTTTCAGAAACTGATAGCATATGGTCATCTAACAGGACGTGGAGCGGATTCTTCGAATCCTGATCGGAAACTGATTGATCGCATTGTTGAAGCCATCTGCTCATCGTTCGTAGGTCAAGGAACCGACGAAGCCGTACTACTGCAAATAATAAAGGTAAATCTAAAGAAAAGGAAGACTACTTTGAGATTCAAGCTAATTTTCAGGCTATTCTCGCCGTTGTGCTCACTAATAATTGTGAAGTACATGAAGGCTCTCTTCTACTTGCTGTTCGAACATGTTTTACCATTTTTCTTGCCACAAAAAGCCCCATCAATCAATCAACGGCCAAAGGAACTCTTACTCAGGTAAGCAAATGCTTATGACATACTGCAGTATATATCAGCTAGTATGCATTCTTTCAACTTGTTTATTATCTACCGTTATCTCAATACTTTTTGCCTCCTTGCCTTTTTTAGAGTCTGATTGAGCTAATAACTTGCATGCAGAACCGTAATGGGATTGAGCCGTAATTTAGATATCTTATTTGACGCTGTGTTATGACTGAACTTCAGCGGTTTTTTGTGTTTTTTCTGTCAGTAATAAGCGTTTCGATACTTGACTACTATGTGCCGTCGAATTCATTTCATTTCATT